TTAATCTTCTGCACTTAAAAAAAATCACATGTTGATAACTATTGCTACAGCTGCTCTAACATTAATGCATATAAACATTTCTTACCAAATTACGCTTTTTTAGTGGAAGAAAATAATAATAGTGGCAGAAAGAAAACATCAGTGCGTAGGAAGTAAGAAGTTCAGTGTAGAAACATAACTGCAGAAAAAGCCAATGATTATCTTCACCAACACAATTGTTAATCCTGAAGAAAAAAATGAAAAAGAAACAATATTTTAAACATTAATAAGATGTTCATTTCAGGATCCGTAAGACAAAAAATAAATACAAATAACTTCAAATATGCTTAACTTCATGGAGGTACCCTAAAGCTACTCAAACCTAAAAGAAAACTGCAAAGATATAAATATACCATCTAGTATTTGTATAGCATTACTTTACAAAGGAAGTCCACATATATGATCCCCCTTCAACTCACAACAACCTCAACCCAGTTAGGCAGGAAGAGCAGATGGTAGTCTCCTTGTCTCATTGATATGGAAACAGAAACAAAGGAGTTAAGCCACTAGCCAGAGCACACACAGTTAGCAAAGATGGGTCCAAGAGAGCAAGAACCCTCTTTTCCTGTATATTATTCTTCCATTATAGCATTCGAGTTGGGGAGACATATTTGAATGCTCTAAAGTAAAATAGCTTAAACTTGCCACTCTAATGTAACTCCTAAGCCTTTGCAATTTTTTTTTTACTACAAAAATCCCTAGTTGCTGAAAATAAAAATGTATTCAAAAGCATTTACAAATACTTAGAGCCATACTTCCACCAATACAACAGCAAACTCCAGGGAAAAGGATTAATGCTATAATCCAAAAATGTTTAAGGCTAATTTAAGCAGAATATTTTATTGCTCTAATTTGTTATATCCAAATTTTCAAAATGTTTTAAATTCCAGCAGAAAACCCTAGCTCAAAACTACAAATTACCTTGCACAAATGTTTTCATTTCAAAATAGCATTATACCGTCACTAAAAAAAAAAGATATAACACATTCCAGTTCTAATTTAAAATTGTTCTTTATAAGGTTGTCATCAAAGTCAAACATAGAACTGAAATGAAAAACCTTGTGGAGGCATTTCTTATACTCATGAGCACGTGCTTTGTAAACAAGAAAATTTTACTGTGTTTTGTTATCTGCAAGCAGGGCTATAAGAGAAGGGTGCTTACATACACACTCAAAAATGCTCTTTAACAGCTGTAACATGAAAGATGGCTTATTCTTGTCCCACCCTTCCAGTCCCCAAAAAGTTTGAGAAACGATTGCTCTGATCACAGCATTCTTCTTAACCAGAGAGTTTTAAGAAGCACTAAGGTACTCAATCTATATGTAAGAGTTATTTTTGTAACATTTAAACTACTTAGAAAGAATAATCAGAGCAAGAAATATAGAAAACTTGGAGGCAATCTGAGAATTAACCTCTAAATCTAAAGCTGTTAGGCAGTTAAAATAACGCAGTTTCTCAAAACATCAAAATTCTCCTTGCTTACAATTTACACTGTACATTTCCCTTACTCTCTGAACATCTCAGAAGTGCTCTATCAGGGAATTCATTCATGAAAATTTCTAAATCTATTTAGGTCCCTTGTCTACCCACCTTTATGATACTCTAATCTTTTCTACTTCCCCTTGCCTCCTATCAATATTCTGAAAAGTTGATTAAAATTGTGAAAGTCTAGAAACAGATAAATCACCCCAGTGTTAGAATTTAGGTTAAACAGCACTCTCTTTGGTCACCAACAAGTTAGTCTGTATCCCTTAAAAATAAACAAATATCACTAATTTCTACAGAAACATTTCCTAGTTGACTGTTTTTTTTTAATTTTAAACTATTGAAAGGAAGCATAAATATCCAACTGTACCATGAACATTTATATTTTTAGTTACTCAAAAACACTACTATAAAAATTGCTTAAAATTAAGTTTTTCAGTGTGATTACCACTTACCTGAATACATGTTTTATCTAGCTTTTTAAACTGTATTACTACTGTGATGGCAAACAG